AAGCTGGAGCTTGAAACAGAACCTTTCAAATCATATGCTTATGTGTTCGATGACTTGCTGTGTATGCGTAGTTGGTTGTTTGACCACACGCGGCTTCAAAACACTGCAAATGTGCAGGACAGTGCAAGGCAGTAAACAGCAGGCTGCACGGCTTGGTCTTTTTCCTCGCGGCACAAAGACTGTCACAACGAGTCGCAAGTCACAGCCTAAAGGCCTAAAGTCTGCCAACAAGGCCGGCTCGCAACTTGGCCAAAGGCCCTGGCTAAACACAACGGTGCAAAGCCAGCACGGCCACAGGCCACATGCCCAGCACGGGCTTGCGGCTTGAAAACGTCAGCTGAACAGGGCCAAGGCTTGCAAGGTCTGCTCAGTGTCTTTCCCAGTGACCTCAGAACGCTCTTCACGGAACTCGACTGCGCACAAAGCAGCTTGCGCAATGGCCAGCACAACCGGAAGTGTCATCGCGTTGCCAGCGATGTCCATCATGAGGCTTTCTGTCAGCCACTGCTTTTCCGTCTGCTTCTGCTTTCGTTTCTTGACTGGCGGCTGCCCAAACAGTGAGGGCTCTGGCAAAGGCTCTTTATTGCGATCGAAGCCAGTTTCCTCCATTTTCAGGAGAAACGGAACCTTGGATGGATTGGTGTTGAAACCGGAGTCCTAAAGGCCTAAACGTCAAGGTTCAGGAGCTTAAGTCTAAGGTTTCAGGCTTTAAGACTTTAAGTTGCAAAGTTTTAGGTTTAGGCTTTAGAACTTCGACTTGAGACTTGAGTCACTTACGTCTTTAGTTTAAGTCTTACGTGGCAACCAGAAGAAAGCCAAAGCCAAGGCCAAGGAACAACAGGAAAACCCTGCATTATGAGGGCCTCCTGCCCCAATAACAGCCTAGGCGGCCTTGCAATCTCCACAAACAAGATCTGCGTCGGAAGCATCGTAGGAGCGACGTGCTTTTGGGTCTCTTCGATCCAGCTCTGGCTAGTAACAACGCGACCTACCGACTGGCTGACGTTCCTGAACCCCGCCGAAGGCGTTTGAGACCTCGACAGCACGAGTGCATCTTTCTCGCGATCCGACAAGGTCAAGAACCATTCATTTATGTCCAGATCTTTTTCAAGTGGTGCTCCCCAGCGCATGTTATTCTTGTCCGAGTACTTGAGGTGCTGCTCAACCCAAGACGACTGTCCTGACCCGCCCCCAGGGCTTGGCTTGGCCTTGGACTTCGCCTTAGCCTGAGCCTGCGACCGTTCAGCAGTTTGAGCCGCTTTGGCTTTTGCCGCAGCCTTCTCTTCACGCTCTAAAGCCCGAGCCTTCCTGGTTTGCATTTCAGACAAACCTGCCAAAACGGCTTCAGACCTGGAGTCAAGAAGAACTTCGCTAGCGCACGGGGCCGACCTCACACATGAAGCTGTCCTGGGTTATGGTTGGGATAGCATGAAAACTGCAAGTTAGTCCCTACTATGTTTACTCAGCCGTGAACAATACAAAATGTTACCCAGCCACGACGAAGGTCATGCTCCGCAGCATCGACACGACATCAGCCATCTTGCGCTCGTGAAAGTCGAACTTGTGGAAAACCCGCTTGATGAAGCACACGTAGATGCGTCGACGCCGTGCTGGGAGACCAAACTGGAAGGCGTCAGTCTGCATCACCTGGCTTTCATAGCCCAGTTCGTTCATGGTCTGCACGATGTGGTCCAAATTCGACTGGGCTGACTGGCCTACATTTTCTTCCAAGCCATCCACGTTTTCAAACCAAATGAATCCTGGTAAGGCCATGGACACGTAGTCTAGAAATCCATTCCAAGTTTGCGCTGTGCCGCCTTTGGATTCGGACTCTTGGACAACTAGCTTTGCTTTGTCTCTCCTGGCATTCTGCTTTGACAAGTCTTTGCAGCTGATGCCGCATACAAAGATGTCGACATGGGGAACACAACAGTTTGCATTATGCACTGCACACTGACATACATCCTGCCCTAAACTTTGTATGTCAGTGAAAATGCACGTGTGATGAGGATCATCGTCATCATCCTCAACCTCACGACTCCGTCCCCAGGGATCAACGCCAGAATGTAGTTCTTCAAAAACAGGGCCAGAGGCCAGCACTGTGTGGATCCATCGCTGCTTGTCCTTGCTGTTCTCGCACGAAAACTTGTGGTCCAAATAGATAGGAATGTTCAAATGGTCAAAGGCTTTGTTGATAGCTTCAGCAACATAGAACATGCCTTCAGAGCCAGAGCAAGCCGAGCCCCACGTCAACACGACTGGCGCCATGTTGCCTATGGCTTCTGTCCCCAGTTGCTGTGGATACAACTCCACAAAACCATTCAAGTTCTCTTTGGCACACCGCATGAGAGCATCACCTTCAAGCAATCTTTCGGCTGGCAAAACCCGGCTTGAAGCCTTTTGCATAAGCTCGGGCTCTGCAGGGTTTGAGGCCACTCTTGAAAGTGCCCGGTCAACCGATGCTGATGAACCAGCCGCCATCGTGCTGATTGTGGCAAAATGCCAAATCCAAAACTGCAAAAGTTCTGATTCGAAAGGTTTAGGCCAATTTCGTTTAGGTTTTGGCTTGGGGCTGGGCTACACCATACCTTTGCCTCTGCCTATGTCGCATACGCCTCTGCTAAGTGTACTCTATGCCATGCGTTCTCAGATTGAAATGCTTGCAACAGGATTGGAACACACTGCTCAAGATTTGACGTTGCATGCATGACTCATGACTCATGACTCATGACGATGAGATGAACACAGCGAGCGCAGCAAACACAGCTTTGAGACAGGATCCATGCCGGCCATAATGCACCAACGTAAACTCGAGCAAAGCCACAACAATCATCGCTTCTTTTTCAGTGCTGCCCTCAAGCAAGATGTCAACGGGCCGTCAACGGGCAGCAAGCATGAACAAAGCGAACGCCCCAGCAACTCTGGGCAATGTGTTGATTGCATGTTGCTTGGCAATCAACGACGAACCTGGCCAAAGGCCATGCTGCATGCTTCAGTCCAGCACTCTCGGTTTCTTGTCACTCTTGTCCTTGTCCTTGTCCTTGACAGCTTTCTTGGCTTTCTCCGTGGGCTCCTCCGGGGTCGTGTCTTTCTTGTCTTTTTTGTCTTTCTTGTCACTCTTGTCTTTCTTCTCCTTCGCCTTTGCATCAGAATTCTTGGCAGACTTTGCCTTTGTGCGCTCTTCATCATCATCATCCTCATCAGCCTTGCCCTTCTTCTTGCGCTTGCTATCTGTGGTCTTGGCAGGATCCTGTGGTGAGATGACGGCCAAAACTTCAGCAGCCAATGTCTCTGCATAAGCACGGACCCGAAATCCTGGGGTCGACACAGTGGCATAGGGCTTCCAATCCTGGATGTGCTTGACAAGAGTCGGATGAACTTCCTTAAGTTTGGCCATCAATGTCTTGCCTTCCTCTGTTCGCTTGGTGAGCGAGGGGTTCCTCATCAAGCAAATTGCAGCAATCAGAGCTACATGAAGCTTGGACAAGGTCACAGACCTGTTGCACTGTTCGGCAAACACGTCTGCACTTCCCGCTGGCTCATACGATACCTGCGATTCCAGACCGCTTTGCAACCCGTCCACAAACTGAATCTTGGATAAGATTTCCAGCTCGGCTTTGAAGCTTCGCAGGGTCTCTAAAATGGCACCAACGCTAGCTGACTTCTGCGCTAAAGTGGCACAATGTTGCAGCATGGCGGTTCGATAGGTCTCTTCCTTTTTTGCATCAGGCGATGGCAAATCATCAAGAATCGAGGCGACTTCACCGTGCTTTGCCCATGCATCCTTCACAAAATTGCTCGAAACGGTGGTCAATCGCTGGTGAAGAGCAGAAACTTGCTGATGAAGAAAGTTTCTGGTTGTAGGATCGGCGATTTTTGTTCTGAGCAAATCTGCCGCCTCAATCTCCGGGCCCTGGCTTATAACCCGGGCCAGCTCTTCAGAAAGCGTTTTCAAGGACTGGATGAAAGAACGCACCTGGTCCTTCTCAGACACCTTGGACGGGAACATGGCCACCTGGCATATCACATCTGGCTCGGCCCTTGCTGCATACTGCCTCGGCTGCTCGCCTCTCCCTTTCCCTGTCCTGCTTGCTCTCCCTCCCTCTCCTCTTTCTCACTCAAGTTCAAATCAAAATCTCAAAACAAAGCAATCGGCCTTGGCAAATGCGTCCACGAGCTTTGCGAGTTTGTGGTTCGAGGGGATCTTGATCATCAAATCCTCATACAGCCCTTTTGTCAATCCCGCTCCTAACATGTTTCCTGTGAGCTGGTCCACGATCGGCGCAACGCTGTCCAAGCCAGCTGAGTAGAGCCGCGCGAGCTCGAGCTTGACCGGCGATACAAGCTTCGTCTGGACTCTGAGGACAACCTGGGGGTCTTCGACCAAGCTGCTGAGGCGGCTCTCAGCCGCATCGGCCCAAACTTGGAGAGCCTCAGGCGAAACGTGCTCCTGCTTGCTGGCAACCTGGCTGAAAGCCGGCTCTCGCAGAAAAACCCATCGCAGCAGTTGTGACACGGATTCCACCGCAGATGCGAAGTCTGCGATCATAGCCGCCACTGCTGGGATGCTCTGCAAAACCTTGTTCTCAGCCAAGGATGCTGCAGTCAAGCCGGCAAGGAAGTCATCTAAATTGATGATGCTTTGGCTCTCGCCCTCACCGCCACCTCCAGCCTTGTTGAGCTTCACCATGCAGTTGTTCTCTAAAGCATCGAACGCTTCCTTCCTTGGTTTTGGCAAGCTGCACAGTCTACGAGCACTCACCCCAAAGACTGCAACACGATCCTGCAACATCCTCATTGCCAGACTCATGGCACTCAACATTTCAACACAATGAACATCAACACAAGCCTCAACACCCAACGCCCAAAACCACCTCATCCTCAGCTTCCACCTGGCTCGTTCTTTATTTCATCCATGACTTAGACTAGACGCTTCAAGTGAGTGGGCAATGTTTATCATTTCCCCTTATAGCAATAAGTTGGCAATACGATTCATGTTGCTAAACCGGAGCAAGCAGCAAATGCTCTGTCACGGTGCAGGACAAGTCAGGACTCACCAGCTGGACAGCAGCATTGGACAGCTGCTTTTCCAAAGACGCGACAGACTCTGCTGGAAGCGTTCCATCTTCACCCAGGGCTTTCTTGCTTTGCTTCGACTTGAGAAACTTGCAAGCTTTCAAGCTGGCTACAGCTTCAAACGCAGGAGCGATGGCCTGGGCCAGGACATCAGGTCCTAAGCTGCATCCCGAGGCTTCAGGAAGTGGCGGTTTGGCAGCCGCGCAGGCCAAAGTGCTTACCTCCTTTTCAGCAACCCGGACCAAGGCCTGAAAATCTGCTTCCAGCTCACCCTCCTGCACTCGGCTGATAGCCATGGACATCAAATCCTTGCCAACATCATGCTGCAGAAAGAAACGAATCATGCCCTGCACGCGCTCAAGCTTCTCAGAAGCCTTTTCTTTGACCTTCAGCGTTTGTGTTTCCAACCTTTTGATATCATGTTGGTCAAGGAGTGCAGCGGACATCTGAGCATACTCCTGCAGGTCGCTAGCCAAAAAATCGCTGTCCGCGCATGCTTTTGCAACTGCTTTGGCTAGGGAGGTTGCTTCGTGCAAGTTGGGTGTATCCTCACTGGAAGCCTTGCCTTGCATCTTAAGCTGGAGCTCTTCTGTGGTGATGGCTCGCATTGATGCCAGCATTCGGTTTTCAACCTCTGTGCAAATGTGGGAGCGCAAATCAGGAAGGTTCATGCTGCTAAGAAGCGGCTGAGCTTCTTCTGACCTGTGCATCAAAATGTCGGTGAACTTCTCATGATCCCCGTGAAGGCAACTCTCATTGGCTCTGGCCATCAAACACTTCATTTGAAAACCTGGCCCAAACGACAAGCCCAGAATGTCTAGCTTCTTGACCTCGCTCAACACTTTGATGAACTCTTCGGGGTCAGGTCTGGCTGCCGGCATCATCTGAATCAAACGCACAACAGCCTGGCTCAAAGCCGTGTAATGCTGCAGCTCTTGCAACTGTGTTTCAAAGGTCTCTTTGTTGCTGCTCTTGTCCACCGCCTTGATCGTAGCCCCTGCATCTCGGACAGCTATGTTGATGGTGGTGACACGTTTTTGGCAATGAGTCCGGTATTCCTTCGACGCAGTTGCTTGTGGGCCCTGGGCTTTGTCTTTCAAGTCCACGTCTTGCAAGGTCTTCTTGAGCTTGTCGATCTCCGTCTGGCATCGCCTCAGGGTTCTGTTTGCACGCCCGTCCAACTGCATGGGTGCTGCTGGTGTTGCGTCCAGAACCAAGGCGGTTCTTGGTCCTGATCCTGATCCTCCTCTGCTGCCGTGGCCCTGGCCCACAGGCGCAGACGGCGCAGACACTTTCTTCGTGTTTGCACCCTTGGCTGATGGCTTGGACCTCGATGCTGACGGGTGACAAAAAGTGCATACCGTTAGTACTACAATATTATAATATTATGATTTTTTTCAACCGTAGTATTGTTGAGTATGCACAAGCTACAAACTTTAAACCCCCCAACCTTGAAACGTCTGAAACCCTAAAAACCTCAAACCTCAGGCATTTTAGTTTAAAGCCTAAACCGCCTTAAAGCAAGAAACGTCCAGAAATGTTACATGGCTGCAATGCAAAGGACACCCAGAAACACAACATATTCGCACCTTCCACATGCCTGATGAATTGCTGCGAAGGAGCCCAGGTTTGCCTGTTGGAGCGTTTCCTGCTTTGCTTGAAGCTGGAGGTTTGCTGCCACTGGCACTCTTTGCCTTGGCCGATGCCGTACTAGAAACAAGCAACGACAACCCAGCCAATGGCCCCTCTTCAGCGTCGCTGGCAGATTCATCGCTAGAGCTGCTGGCCTTGCTGGACCTGCCAGCACGCGAGCGGCTTCGAGACCTGGCCAGAGGCCGCTGCTTGGAAGAAGAACCTTGGCCTGAGGCCGTGTTTTGCACAAGGGCCAACAAGGCTTCCATGCCAAGCTCTGGGCCTTTGACAGACACGGCTTCTCGAGCCTTGCTCTGAGCCGTCCAGGCGTTGTGCATGGCCTCTTTCTTCCGGGCGAAGGCCACCTCAGAGAACGGTTCGTCCCCGCCCTCGTGTTCGATGATCTTCTCGGCCACGGCCGTGTCTTCGTATTCTTCGAAATCGAAGACACCCTCTTCCCCGACGAGCCGCCAGACGCCTTTCTGCTTGATGCCTTTGATCTCGAGCTCAACTTCCTGGTTGCCGGATTAAGGTTGATTCATAAGGCTTTGGGTTTAGGGTTTATACTCATGGGTACGGCCTTGGCTTGAGGGTTTAGGGTTTTGTTGCTACTAGGGTTTTAAGGCTTCAAATTTAAAGTTTAATGCTCCAGGGTCCTTGCTGGCGTCCCACACACCGTGTTTGGCCTCGCTCCAAGCGGACGACAAAACGAATTGTCGTTTTGGGGCTACAAGCCGGCCGCCCACACGACGATCGACTGCAAGCTCGCGCTTGACTGCCAAAAGTTGTTCTTTGCTTTTCAGCTTTGCTCGTTGAGGGTCTTCGTTGTGCTGCTTGATCCAGTCCTGAGGAAGTCATTCGACAACAAAACTAGAGTAAGAAAAGAAGCGGCAAACCACATGCACGATGCCTCGCACTCTTGACTCTTGACTGGCGGTCCCATACTGAGGCTGTGTCTTTTAACGACGCCAAAAAGGACTTGTGCTCATGCTGGTTTTGCCGATCCGAGATGAACTCGTAGTACTTGGCGTAGGTACCGAACTTGGCATGAAGACCTGCCAGGGAATGTTGTCTTCCGTGCAAGCACCACAATAATCGTCATTATGCAGACTTCATTGACTCGTGTGACGACACAATGCGTGAGTGATATGTCAGTTCGTTCTCCGACTTAGTCCACTTGGACACTTTGAGGTTTTTACCCGGCTAAAAGCCGTTGCATGGTTGCGGGCCTTGGGCCAGGCTGGCAACATGCCTGCTTTCCCCTCATCCTGCCAATTCCCTCCCCCACGTGCGAGCTTTAAATGACCAAAGCCAAAGACTCCCACACAGCGCACACAGCACTCATGACAAGACATGACATGACATGATGACTCATGATGACAAGCAAGCAACTTCAATTTTCAATCTCTGTGACAAAGCACAGAGGGCCTCCCCATCGCCAGCCAACGCACCCTGAACATTATGCCTCTATTATGTCCGGCTAAGCCCCCTTTCGGAGAACTTGCCAGGCAGGTCGAGGCTTTTCCCAGGGGTCGGTGTCAGTGGACGCATTAGGCGCATGTGCCCCACTGTCATACCTGCGAGCCTAGATCATAAAGATCATCGGCTGCACAAGCGTGGCCTTAACACCGCGGGACAGGTACCACGCCTGCACCCGGCCAACGGTACATGTTGAATTTCCACACCCCCCTCAGGGGCTCCTTTCAACTGGGTAAGCATAGCCCTGCCCATGGCGTTTGGAATTTGACCAAATGCAGCAAGTTCCGTTATCATGGCAAACGGCAACGGCAACGCCATCCACTGCCAAGCTGCGCCATGCACACATGCAGCACATGCATTGCTGCATTCTTGCCAACACGCAGCAATCGGCAAACAACTGCTCAGCCCACGGCCCACGCAATGGACAGATGCAGGAACTCCAAGGCGGCGTATTGCCAAAACACAGAACAGAACCGAACATGACAAGGACAAGGACCAGGACACGACACAGGACCAATCAAGCCACGCACAACCGCCATTGGCAACAGGCCTTCCAGTCAAAATGGACAGATGCGGGTCACGCCCCACTGCCAAATGCACCTTCCTTTGTCCACGAAGTCTTTCCCAGAACCCAGCAGGCGCATTAGCGCATTGCCCTGCTGTCGTCTGCTCCCAAGGCTGGAGCATGTTGGCCAAAAGTTCTGTCAGACAACATGGTAGGAAGCTGAGCTCCAAACCCGGCCAACGGTTTGGAGGCAAGCCTGATGTTTTTGTTTTGATTGCCTTGCAGGCTTGCCTCTTGGTAGAGCCAAGACTGAAACAAAGAATCAAGCAGCAGCAGCGCCAATCCAAGGGCAACAAGGCCAAAGGCCGAAGCACTCCGACAAACGCACAAACACAACACACACAACAAGGCCACAGGCCAAAGATCAAGAAGGAAGCCAAGAAGCGAGCATCTTTTGCCCTGCAGCATAAACACACAACCCGACTGCCCCTTCACTGTGAACGTGAGCCACCAACCTACACCACGTACCGGTCTGAAGCAAAGCAGCCAAGCTGCAAACAACAAAGACAAATAACCACATGGCAACAACTGAACTCCTCACTGCATGAGTTCAACACCCCAGGTCACAACCAGCAGGTGGCTCCCAGCCTCAATCGCTTGGGCGCCTGGCTTTTCTCAATTGGATTGATGCCAAACGCAGGCCATGCCGCCAAGACCAAGCCGCCAAGCCTACTTTTAACGTCGTGACAGTCTGTTTTGAACCTAGGCATCAGCATAATAAGTTAATAAGTGTAAGCCCAAACTTCTTAACTATCTGCCAAGCCACCAAAGACCAAAGCCCACACCGTCCTGCCCCCCCCCCCTCCCCCCCCTCCCCCCTCCCCCCCCTCCCCCCCCTCCCCCCCCGCCCCTCCCCCCCCCCCTCCCCCTGTGCCGATACACCCCCAAGGATACTCCTTGTAAGGAGGTGTATGACCAGTTTATTCCCTAAGGATCAAAGGGCAGCGCCCTGCACACGGACAGTAGTTGTTTTGTCTTGCTACGCAAGGAGAGCTTGTCTTGTCTCAATATGGTAAAACCACTGTGAGCCAATGGGCAGCGGAATGTATATGTATGAGCATGCAGCCATTGCTGTAGGTACCTGTTAGAGCTACCCCTTTAGAGGTTTATGGTTTCAAACAGACACTAATTTTCTTTTACCGAAAGCATGGCCGCACATTCACACATATACTGTTATGCCCACTGTCACAGTTGCGGAGTTTTGGACTCATTATAAAAACAGCATATTATGTATGCTAGGTATAGCACTGAAGTACACTGCTGAGGACACTCCACTCATTTTTGCACACACACTCATGCATATTTGTCAGAGAGATCATCTGTACAAGATCAGGTCTGGTGATGTTCTACATCGAATTATGCAGCCTTTCACTTTGCTCTTGTTAGAGCTTTGTGAGTCACTGTTGTGAAACTCTGAGATTCTCTTATCTCAGATTTGGATCCAGGGTTGGATCATAGGCTCGAGCATAGACGTTCGGATGTGGCTCATCCGGGTCTGAGTGGTCTTCTTCGGAACTTGAAAAGATTCCGAGTAATCTGTTCTCAGCCCTGGTGAAGGCGGCATCTGCAGTATCATATCCATGGTTGGATGTTGTCGCCTTTGGCTCGGCCTTTGGAGCAGCTTGTGAGCTGACTGGAGTTGCCTTGGCTTTTGCCGGTTGCGGCTGCTTAGCCCTTGCCCGTTCAGCCCTTCTTCTTTCAAGCTGTCCGTCTGAGGACGCCCATGATCTTTCACTTTCATCTCCTGAAGGAGATAAGGCGTGGGCATAAAGGCTATTCCAGTACTGTGGTGCAGAAGGAGTTAGGACTTCTTCATTGTCAGATTCTGACTGGTCTTCCTCAGAGCTTTGGTCGTCAAAGAGTGTCTCGAGGACATTTTTGAGATTGTTATTTCTTCGCTCTATCTCTAGTGAGGAATGGACCAATTGGTTAAAGACTGTCCTTGAGTCCTTCAGTGCTGTTAGAAGGATTTCCACTCTGGATAGAGTATCTTGGATGGTGTCAAGATGTTCCTTTCTTTCCTCCTTGTCTCTCTGGATAGAGCCTCGCAATGCTTGTGCGATTCTGAGGAGGTCTGTGTATTTCGCAAGAGGCATAGTTACCGTTTGATTGTCATGTATGACAGTTGTTTCGTCGCCGCTTAAGTTCCTGAATAGGACTTCCACGATTGGTAGGAACTCCGTGCTCCACGGTTCCTCTTCATCATATGTTTCTACGTGCTGTAGCACGCGTTGTGTAAACTGGCCGGCTGCTTCTACCGTTGCATCGATAGAGCTGACGTGTCTTGATACTATGTTTCGGCACGTAACGTTAATTGCCTGGCCTTGATTGGCTTCGTCAAGTGCAGCGTCTGCATAGGTGCAGAGTCCACTGTTGTGGGCTTCTCTGGCTGCCTTTCGTTGAATACGCCGATTTTGACCTCCTCTTCTGGTAGGACCTTTTGGTCTCGGAGGATCAGAAGGTACTGTTCCTTTCGCCTTTGGCGGAGGACTCTTAGGTGGAGGTGATATGTTTGCCTTGTTAGGCCCTGGTGGCATTGCCTTGGGCGCTGATGACGATGCGGCACTTGAGAGTGCAGATGTACCTCTGGCTTTTGCCGAGGATCCCTTAGGGATCGATGTATAGGTAATCTGCATGGCTTCCTCGGCCATTTGTGCATGCAAGGCATCCTGGAATAATTGTGTCATGTGAGGAGTGTTACTTGCATCATCGTAGGTCTGGAAGCGCTCAATGTCTCTTTCGGTGCCACGTGGTCGTGTATCACCTCTTTGGAAAGGATCATTCCTGCGAATCTCCGCAACTTGTACTGCATGAAGGCAGTTTTTGCACAGCACCTTCTTGCAAACATCTCTTGCTTGCTTAAGCTGGTAACAGCTGTCTGAGAGATGGTAGACTTCGCTTCGGGAAGTATGCCAAATAGGTCGCAGATCAGTTGTTTCTCCGGAATTGACCCTGTTGGGTCCTAAAGGTTCACGCGTCTGCGGTTCATCCTCGGGTTCGAGGAATGGAACTCTTTGGTTCGCTGCTGCTCTTGATTTTGGTTGTTGGCGCTCCATACATCTGATAGGAGGCCTGGTAATCTGCTTCCACATCCAGTGTAAGCCCATTAGCAGCAGGAACACATTCCACGTGATGCTGAAGACGGAGAAGTCTTGCTCACTGGTTAGTGAGTCTGGAAGTGAAGTTTCATCAGTCTTGGTAGACTCTGCGTTTGCTCCACCTCGGTTGCGGTGTCCGAACCAGCCCGACAACCCCGCTGCTGTTGCAGCTGTTCTGAGTGCCTTGCCGCTCGGAGCAGACGGTGGACGCGATGCCTTCCTTCTTCTTCTCCGGCTGGAGGATTCGTCCTCTTGTTCCTCTTCATCTCTCTGAGCAGACATCAAGTTTGATGTTTCTCTTTCGTGTTCTTCGATGTCACTTTTTGTTGGTGACGGTTCTTCTTCTAGTCCATCCAGCTCTTCCAAAGACATGTTGAGCTTGTCAACAATATTGGTTCTTTGAGGCCTGGACCTTGATCTTGGTAGATCTTGTTGTGAAGAGGACGATGATTCCTGGTTCCTTCTTGGAGGAGGACCTTCAGGCTCGCTGGGACGTTCAGGCTGTGGCCACTCCCAGAATCTTCCATATCTGTGATGGCTACCTGATGGTTGCGATTTGTCGTACCAGCTGTTGCCGGATGAGTAAACGAATGAATCGTTGTAACCCCAGTATTCAGCATTACGCTGCTTGTAAGCCTTTCGCTTGTCAGCGATCTTCTGGACCTGGGCATCTGACCGGTTGTGTTTCCCTTTTGTAAGGATT